ACTGTCTTTGTGCTCAAGACTGAACTGTCTGAGCACATGCACATCTCACTGTATGCCAAAAATCACACTGCCAACAAGTGACCCGTCATGGAAACTATACATTAGATCCAACATGCGCAGCAATAGCCATGGAAATCGATTTGCCACAATCAACATAGAAAAAAACGCATTTCCAGAGATCATTCGCATGAAAATAGAGCCTTAGTTAAAAAAAAAAAGGTTTGCCACGTCTTTTTGGTAGAGGAAGTGTTCAGATACTAGGTGCCCAGAGGCACTTGTTTGATCCACAGCTGTTCGAGTGTAAACGGGATGTTGTGACTAAATTAGCATCAGCAGAGAACAAACCCAATTGTTTTAAAGTTGGTCTTTGAGTGTTTTAAAAAAGACTCTGACCCCTATGCATACAACATTCTGTGCATGTGATCCCACGCTTCAGCCTTGACACGTTCATTAGATTAGACATTTGCTTCACTAAGACAAACAAGCAGGGCAAAGGGGGTCAGGATGTGCCCAGACACGCCTCCGGCCTGTTTACAGCTTTCTGGCTCACTTGATCCACACGCACAGGCTCAACCAAGACCACTCATACGATACACAAGCAAGACAGAGACACCGATCCCATACGAGGAAATCAGGCTCTTGGCCTCCAGAATGCTGAGGCAAAGCAGTGATCAGGCACAGAAAGGGGAACAAGCTGCATACATTTGTTTTCAAAGACTGGAAGTTACATGCAGTCGCAGCTGAGAAAAGTCTACTTAATAAAAAACACATTTATATAAGCCATGGGGTGTCCAAGCGTATTCACATGTGGGCCAAAACCTTGAAGATCTCTTGTAAATGAGTCCCAGAGGCTCAATGGGATTAACCTGTATAAATAAAGGTTGAATGAATGAATGAGTCACAAGCCACAAAAATGTGAATTAAATAAATAAATGTCATAAAAAGAATACATATTATTTTTGTTACTCATTGTAAGCAATATTTTGGAGAAAGGACAACATTTACTAACCGAAACATTAAAATCTTCATAAACAATAATGTTTTATTCATTTCTTTTTTGAATTAAAAAAAAAAAAAATTATTATTTTATGGACTTATTGCCAAAAGATTGTATTAAACTTAATATTGCTCATTTTTAGATTTTTTTTTTTAATCTGTTTTGCTGTTAAACCTAAAAATTTTATTAAAAAAAAAAATCATCATTAAATTTGCAAAGGGTCTACATCAATCTCAAGCCTATGGGCCAAAATTATGCATCCTTGAACTGCAGTTGTGGGCCACACAAAATCACTCCAAGGGCCACAAATGGCCCCTGGGCCGCACTTCGGACACCCCTGATGTAGGCCTACAGTTCATTAAATGTTTTATCAAGCACTGTCACACTGTATAGATGTGCATTATTTTCCTACAAGTGATTTCCTCCTTAATTGTGCAGTGCTGTGAGACCTGCTGTGAAGCCTTGAATCTGTAGCAAAACTATGAGCACAACACATGTGAGAGTTTATATTTCAGCAGGCATGTCATGAAATGTGTACAAACCACTTCCTCAAGTTGGAATTTTAAAGTCATAAGAACAAAAATCACAAATTGTCTTCAACTTTCTCATCTAAAGTTTTCATTTTTTATATAGAAATGATTAAAGCTTGATGTTAAATATTCAGTTGTTTTATTGTGCAATAGTGTGACATTTCTGATCAGTCTGAACAAATCTTTACTCAGAGTACTAGTTTATTTTACCAGCATTACTGTGTATGTTTAGAGGCCTACTTTGTATTTATTTATGGCCAGCATAGTGGTTAACTCAGTTGCCTCAGCAAGAAGGTCTTGGGTTTAATGCCAGGGTTAGCCCTGGGGTCTTTCTGTGTGGAGTTTGCATGTTCTCCTCGTGCTTAAGTGGATTTTCTCCTGGTTTCCTCCTGCAGTTCAAAAACATGCATGTTAGGCTGCATTCAGGCCCAGACTTATCTTGCAAAAGAGTTCTGTGATTTCATTGGAATATGCCTGGTTAAAAAAAAAAAGGTGAATTATTTAATAGAAAGGCAATAAAGATGTGCCCATTGTTTGAAAATAGGTTGCTAATAACGTTACATTGACTCACATGTCTGTGATTACAGTTGTTTGAAAAGGAGTTGTTCTGTTAGTTTAAATACAACTTATTTATTCTTAAAAAAAACTATGCCATCTCACAGCACATTATGGAAAACAATTAAATCAATAAAAGTATTTAAATCTGAATTTAGAAGTGATAATCTCTTGTGTGGGCAGCACCGTGGCACAGTCGGTAGAGCTGTTGCCTCTCAGCAAGCAGGTTGTCCTGGTTGTCCAGGGGTCCATTCAGAGTGGAGTTTGCATGTTCTCTCCGTGCATGTGTGAGTTTTCTCCAGATACTCTGGTTTCCTCCCATAGACCAAAAACATGCATGTTAGACTGATTGGTAACTCTAAATTGTCTCTGGGTGTGAGGGATAGAGTGAATGGTTGTTTGTGTCCCTGTGATGAACTGGAGACCTGTCCAGGACGTCCCCCGTCTCTCGCACAGTGACTGCTGGATCTGGGCATCAGTGACCCCGTGACCCAAAATGGAAGAAGCGGGTAAAGATGATGGATGGATGAATCTCCTGTGTGGCCCTTGACACACAACAAATAAACAAACATATTACTGTAAACGGAAATAAAAGACAAGATAGATTCTAATCCAAGCAAGGCAGGCATGCTTTAATAAAATGCTAACTTTTTACATCTTTTCAGGTTCAGGTTTGGTTTATTTGTCGTATGCAAATCAACACAAGGTCAACAATGCAATGAAATGCTGAGGACGAGAAGAACGTCTCAACTCGCCAAAAAACAAACAAAAAAAAAAAAAACTGCAAGAAATACCAAAGCATGCAGAAAAAATACAAAAAACAAGGCGCCAAAAGTGAAAAAGAAATACATTTATAGTGTGGTTCGGTTAGCATTGAGGTTCTTACAGCAGCGTGGTTCTGTTCTGTTAGCGTGGTCTTGTTAGCAGTGTTAGCAGGTCCTGCTAGCAGCTTGATGATAATAACGACCTCAGCAGCTGCCCTTCCCAACTGCCCTCCAGAACCGGGTCCGGCAGACGGAGAACATCCACGGTTTCCCTGTGGAACCAAATGGGACCGTAGAGTTCGGTCCATGCAGGTAGATGGAGGATCATGGAGACAGCCCCCATGACAGGCCGGAGCCCGAGATTGGAAGGACTGAACCATGATGGCACGATGGCAAGGCAGAGACACAGAAAACTCCACAAGTGTGTCGCGGTCATACCGGTAGCGTGGGTGTGCAGTGTAGGCGCAAAAAAAAGGGTTAAAACAAAAACACCAGGAACAAAAAAGATCAAGTTGAAGCGAAGCTCCGGTCAGTGCGGCCATACACTCGTGACGTCACACCAGACAATTCCCTGTGTCTGTTTTTCATAGTAGATTCCATTTCCAACCACAGGTTTAATAAAACAAGTTTAGACTACCGGTAAATGGGATGTTGTTCATCTCTCAGTCGTGTGTTTGGGTTTGCTACTTATGTGACCTCTTGTCTACTGTTAGCTTTTCTGGCTAAACTTTGAACATTTTCTTTAAGACTAGGTAGCGACAATATTAGGCTGCTGAAACATTAGGAGTAAACAGGCGGAAGTTTTGTGTAAATTATAATGTAACTTGTTAGAAAACATTTTGGGAATATTGGTTTCAGGACTTCTTCACGTTATCTTTGTTGAGTCAAGAACATCAGCATAAGCACATCTGCAGCTTTAAATAAATGTTGACTTGGCAGTTAATTACTGCAGGTTGTAATAAAAGTTCAAGCAAGAACTCTATATTAGATGAATATTATACAATTTGATATTATAAAACATGATACGGTACAATATGATTTGTTACGATATGGTGCAAATACTATACAATATGACATGGTACAACACATTACTATACACTATGTTATTGTAAGACAACATATTGGTTCCTTAGAGAAAATCGTTTTGGGTTCAGTGCTGTACCAAAAGCTTTTGTCACAAAGATTTGTAAAAAAAAAAAAAAGCTGTTCAAGTAAACGTATGTACTGTAGTGCAAATATAATCCACCAGGAAGAAACATAACACAATTACCAATAAAAATCATCTGAATATACACAGTATGTGATGAGAAAACAATGAAAATAAATACAAAAAATTACAGTAGTCCATAGTCAGTATTAATGTACCAGGTGAATTATTACACTTTAATGTTTGACATTTACTGTAGTTTGGAAATGAGAACTGTCACAAAAAGAAGTATATTGAAATTATGGCTAAAAAGTTTTCCCACCCTAAATAAATCCATTCTTTTATTACAGACGCTTTCCTTTTCAGCCCATTACGGGTCATACAAGGTCTGTCTGTTGCTCACTTTACAAAACATTACAGCGCATGTTTACATCACACGTCTGAACAGACACATCCTCCTTAATAGTTGATGTCTGATCCAGAGTCAGGGCCACCAGACAAATCTCACCTCCACTTTGCTTCGACCTTGCAACCTTGACGCATTGCCTTACCGTTGCATTATCCCAGCAACACACACAACAACAACGACAACAACAAAAAAACATTCTGTGCATATTTTATTTTACACACACACACACACACACACAGATGAAATGTGGGGAAACTCTCACTGAGGCCTGCCCCCCACACACATACCAATTGCAAAGAGTGCTTTGTGCATCGACTGACTGTCTGGGCAGTACTGAGCAGAGAGAGAGGCACTGGTGGGAGGGTGGAGATGAAGACAGCGAGGTAAAGAAATATTACAGAGAGAGAGAGAGAGTTCCAGACAGATAGGGAAGAAGAAGAGAGAAGCCTTACAGGGGGGACAGTAGATCCACTAATTCTTACCAGTAGTGGTAGTGAGGAAGGAAAAGGGACTACAAAAATAGGAAAGGAAGCAGAGCTTGTGCAACAGAAAGGAAGAGAGGGAGTTGTTATTAAAGTGGCTGAGGGAAACTGATGGGATGGCATTGATCTCCGGGAGCTGCCGACTCCTGGGTCAGATGGCGTCTTGTTGCTGCAGACCGCTCCTCAGCTGCTCCTGCTGCCAACCGCTCATCAAAGTCTGCCTCTCCTCCTTCACAGGTCGGTCCGAGCCCCGGCTCTCTGTGCTCTGCTGTCATGAGACGGACATTCAGATAGGCAGGGACATAGGTCAATATACAACATGGGTAACTTGTTTAGCCAAGAAGGTATGAAGGGACGCGGTGTGATCCTGTACTGTAACAGCATAACTCTGCATGTGTTGACTCAAGCAGTTCTGTCTGTGCTAACTGTGCTCTGATGGGAAGAATAGGCTGTTGTCCTCGTTGGCATAATGTCATGTTGCATATTGTGTTGCTCCCCATTGTCTCGTCGTGAATGCTTTGCACCAAGATAATAATGTTCTGTTGTGCTTTTTTCTCCCAGAAAGTGTCACTTTCATGTAGATATTTAGGTATTTTAGTCATTTTTTTTTGTTTTGTTAATGTATAATTCTTTTTTTTGTTTGTTTGACATTCTGACCACAGTGACAGAATGAAAGTGTGCTCAAGGCAGTGGAAGTTTCCCTGTCAGTGCTGTTGTGTTTGTGCCTGTGTGTATCCCTATGCCAGCTCCGTAAACTGACTAACAGCTCAGACTTGGTGTTTCTTAAATGAATGGCTCAATCCATGTTTCCCAGTGACGTTCAATACCCTCCCATATCCTGGAACCTTTCTGTAACAAATAGCACTTTTTGTTTCTAGCTAGTACTGCATGTGCCCCAATAAGATGTATGCAGTAAAGCTACAGCCAGAAGTCAATAAAGGTTTTGTTTAGATTACTTAATACTTTACCTGTTGTATACAGCCATTTCTGATCAGATTTATAAGCTAACAAGATCAAGACTAAATAATGCTGTCATATTAAAACAACTCCTAACTAAAAAAAATCCTAGTGTTTCATGAAAACACACCACTAACTGTTAGGCATAACACTTACATTTTGGCAGAAATGTGAAGGTATTTCTGCTGGAAGGGACCCTGTCTGTACAGGAAGTGCTACAGTTAGTTTTTTTTTCCCCGTTTGCTTGTGCAAATAACCACATAATTGTATGTAAATGCAATGAAAATGTTCATAGTCTAGCATTTGTATGAATCACTATGGACATTTTCACAATGGAGTTGTTTTAAGACAGCAGCAATCCAATTTGGTGTTATGCCATCTCAACTAGCCCTTAGACTGTCAGTCCAGGTAATAGTGCTATTTCTCCAACTGAGGTTGGTCTAAGAGCTATCTGCAACAGGTAAGATATTAGTTCTTCATTACATTTTCACAGAACCCAGTTTTAAAAAAATTCTGAACATTTAAGTTCAGCTTAAAAACAGCAATAATCTACTAAATATGTTAACCTGTTCTGTGTTTTTATTGAAAAAGTCTGTATAGTAATTGCTATAAATAATTGTTCCAGACCAAGAAATAGCTTAGCTCCTCATCTAAAGGCTCCATTGAACACATTAAAAAAAGCTCTGGAGGTGCTGATAAGCAAATTTAGTTTAATTTGGTTTGAGCCTGCCAAGCCATTTCCTTTACATTTTTCATGCTAAGACAAACCGAGCTAAGTGTATGCTGGCTGTGGCTTCATATTTACTGTACACAGAGAGGAGTGTTGGCATTGGGGAAGCACTTCTCAGAGCAGTAGCTTAAGTTGTATTGATCAGACATTATATAATGAAGAAAACATGCTAATATTTCTGCTTTCTCTTTGACAGACATCTCTCCTGCTGAGCTAGACGCTCTTTGGAGGGAACCACCCTACACACTTGGGGGAGCAAATGAACACTTCTTAGGAAACGACAACATGACTCAAGGTACAGTAGTCATGTCACCGAGAACAGCCACATATTAAAAACATACACGTAATATAACTTTTCAATAATATGGGATGCTATTAACACGTAAGCTTCATGCGAGCCAGATTCACTGTTGATTTCCTTCAGATCACACACTGAGGATGTGTTTGAGATATCCTTCCTGCACAGTAGAGCAAACAGAGGGAAACTTGTCACCACATTATTGGAAAAATATATATTTATGCAGTAGCCAGTGTGTGTGAATACGTCCTGCAGATACAAAGTATTTATATGTTTGACTCATTGAATCCCTGTTTGTATGCTGAGATAAATTGCTAAAACAAAATACAGACAAATAGCTGCAAGATGAACAGTGTACTGTCAGTAAAATGGCTCCAAAATTGTTCTAAACTGTCCAGATGACCTGACTGAACTTTGTTGTATTTATTTTTACCTGGATTATTGAGCATGAACGTTGATGTATAGAAAGTAACATTTTGCACAATCTCACCCAACACTGCAAAATCTTTGTGCTGAGAATTAGCTCTCAGCTACTACCACATCCAGTTTCACCCTAATATCTGTCAACGTGGCTGAGTTGTATTTTTGTGTTTTCAAAAGACAGTCTGTAGCTGCCATCCTGAATCTGGGTGTCTTCAGAAATTAATCTGTTTAAAGGAACACCCATTGATTACTTTCAGTTTTGAATCTAATTTCAGTTTAAGACAGATTTTACTGACACAGCAAACAAAAACAAACACATACACACATATAGCCAGCTGCCAAAAAGTGGGTGGGTGATAATACACAAAGACTGCAGTATGTGCAGCATATCCTGATGCATGCTCAACAAGCAGTTTGGCTTTCTTGGACTGTGAGATCAGTTTCTGATGGAGGACATTTGGAAGCTGAAATGTACTGCAAACCCACCCACACAGACCAGTATTTGCAGTTTGACTCACATCACCCTCTAGAGTACAAGTTGGGAGTCATCAGGACTCTGTACCACAGAGCAGACAGCGTCCCCACTAACTCAGGACACCCGCTTCGGATGTTATCAGCCATTAAATGGCCGTTATTAGTTGTTATCATCTCCATATATAGCGGTCAGACTGCCCCTCCTGTACCTCCCAGTGGGTTTAAAGTAGGTTGTTAGCATTGTTAGCGATGATAATAGGCTCTGTTTTTAACTTTGTTAGCGCTCATAATAGCTTCACGTGGTTAGGTTCAGAGTTAAGGGTCTGGCGATTAGGTTTATGGTCTTGGTTAGGTTTAGGCACAAGGGTAAGGGGGTTAAGTTTAGGGTTGGCCCTCAGGGTCAGATGTAAGCTTACATTTAGGAAAAAGGTTACAGAAGCTGCAAACAACTAAAAAGACACTTCCTGGTTTACCCCCGTGTGACGCTGCCTATTATCAGCAATAATAACAATAATAACGTAACTTTAAACCTACTAGGAGGTAGGTGGGACAGTTTGACCGCTACATATGGGGATGATAACAACTAATAACAGCCATTTAATGGACTGATAACATCTGAAGCTGCTCCTCAGGAGCCAGACAGAAGGAGAAATCCCAGCAGAGAAGAAACCAAAACAGGACTCCAGTCAGCCATCAGGTGAAAGGAGGAACCCAGACCCAGACCAGTGGTCATTCTGTATGTTGAGGGAGTATCAGAGAAACTGAGACGTTTATTTTCTAAACACAACGTCCCAGTGGCTTTTAAACCCCAAAATACATTACGACAAAGACTGGTTCATCCCAAAGATCCAGTCCCCCGACACAAACAGAGCAATGTTGTGTATGCTGTTCAGTGTCAGGAGGGCTGTGATCAGTCTTACATCGAGGAAACAAAACAGCCACTGGCCAAAAGGATGGCCCAGCACAGAAGATCAACATCATCAGGCCAGGACTCTGCGGTCTACACTCATCTCCAGGCCAGCGGTCACTCTTTCAAGGATGAAGATGTTCACATCCTGGACAGAGAGGAACGATGGTTTGAGAGAGGAGTAAAGGAGGCCATCTTTGTGAAAAGAAATCGTCCATCATTAAACAGGGGTGGAGGCCTCCGGGTTCAACTGTCCCCCTCTTACAATGCTGTGATTGCTAGTATCACTCAGCCCTCTGTGAATAGTAAACAGCCATCAGGGTGCTAATGATCCATTGTTAGACTGATGGTCCTCCTTTTACATGTGAACAATTAGTTCTGGATGTCACCTTCAAACTGGTGGATCCACCATGAGAAGAAGATGCTTATAAGACTGAGTTTGTTGCAGCTCCTCAGACTGAAGAAGTCTTTTGGACAAAAGACAAAACGTTTAAATAAAGAAGAATCTGTCCAGAGGACTTGACTCAACCTTGCTAGATGTGTGCAGCATGTTTTTGGTAAAAGCTACAAGTATTGTTTAAAATTACAAACAGTGATCACAATCTTGTGTCAAATGAAAACATGTTTAGTATAATGTGTCTCTCCTAACATCTCACACAGAATCCTAAAATATGTTTAACCAACAGCAGATTAGGCTCTTTTATCATTTGGTGATCTCCGTTTAGCCTTAAACAAGTGATCTTTAATTCACCATGAAATGTTTCCATATGTTTTTTTTATTATTATTATTGTTCTGTGAACAGGTGAGGAAGAGGACAGTCCAGTAGCAGACCCAGGTGAAGAAGAAGAAAATGAAAGCTACTGGAGGAAGAAAGATGCCTTCCTTCGAGGAAGTATCGTGTCAGTAGGAGATAAACATTCCTCAGGTACACACCAACCCATTTCCCTTTACCTGACGTGTTGGTCATTCAACTTGAAAGCTGAGTGACACAACTAGAAAAGCTGGTAGTCAACTGGGCTACCAACTTTTTATAAACCAGAGTAACGAGGCATTTGCAATGGGAAGTAGTTTTGTGAATACAGATGTAGCTTATTTCCTGTCTACTGATGTTTTACTCAGCAGTTCAGCTTCATCTATCACATCCCCCAGGTATTTCCTCTGAAATGGATTTAAATAGCTGTACCAGGAGTCCAGTAAAAGGCCTAATGGTTTAGTTATTCCTCGAGGGACTCAAATTGTGCTCACAAAGCATATCTTTGGAATGAAAGCTCTCACAGAAGATCTTTAATAAACTCATCAAAAAGTTTTCCCTCTTTTGCTTGGAGAGAACAAAACTTGTTCGGTTTGATCCTCCAACACCCCCTTCCCAGGTTTGCGAGTACCAATAGAAAAGAACATCAGAATATTCACGATTCAGGATTATTATTTATATTATTACCACCTGCCTGTCAAAAAACAGAGGTCATTTCCTGCTGATTGTGTGCTGTCTTGTTTGTATGGCTTTTAGAAAAAATATCATATAAACCCCTGGATTGATTTTAATGAAACTCATAGAGGGTGATCATTGGATGTACATCTACAACTGGGTAACATTTGGTGTCATTCTGAATCAAGATGGCTGCCAAAGCTAACAATCTTGTCAAACTCAAAAATTAATATACCTGCAAATTATACAAATATAGCAATACATTTTGGTTTGGTGTTAACTGAGGCCTTCACTACACTTTCTCTAACCCCAACACATTGCAAAATACTTGCTTAAAGCTTTGGCATTAACTTTTAGAGTCATCCTTCTCTGTCTGTTAGCAAAATATACAATGAAGCATTAGACTGATTTTAACAAAACTCTCAGAAAGTAATAATTTAAAGTACATCTACAAATAATTACCTTTGGGAGTTGACCTGGTTTTAAAATGGCTGCCATAGCTAATTGAACTTGGCAAATCCAAAAACATCTGTGCCCCAACAATTTTACAAACTTAAGCTTGGTGAGGTAGTTGAGAGTCATTTCCAACACGTACTCTGTGCATTACCGTAAAGCACAAGATCTTTATTTAAAAATTTCACATGCAAGATGGTGGGATACAATACGTGGGTATACGGAGCATACCCACTAGAAAAGCTTAAGAATTTCAATATGCCCACTTAAAAGTGTCCAATGATACATGACATATCATTAGGCACGTGTCATTGATATGTTAAACAGTAGTTAAACACTTCCGTAACAATCTATAGGTAAGTAGCGCTTGTTTATTACAATCGCTTATCCAGGGAATTATTGTATAATTACTTCTGTACTTACTACTTAATACTTGAACATGTTTTGCTTTGATACTGATTTATAAATTCTATAAATGTGTTTTAGTACAAAGCCAACTGCTGTAAAAAGTTTGTTGTACATCTATTCAAATATAAGCATCAGAGAAATTTGGAAATGTTCAATATGCTTAAAAATCAAAATAAATTGACGATTACATTGTACTAACCGGTGTACTTTGGTTTCTAAGCACAGTACACCCACTACAACAATGTAGACTGCACCACTGGTGGGTGGCATGTATTTCGTCAAGGAATGCTTGTTCTAATTAGGATGTTTTTATGCCTATCTCTGTTTTCTAGAAATCGTGCTCCTGTTTACTGGACGGAGGCGCTCCTGTGATGATCCCGACCACACCCTGCAGGAGGCTCTGCGCACACAACTCCGAGTGGTGGAGAGCAACAGCAAAGATGTCGCACAGCTCTTTAAAGTGAACCCTGATAATACAGACCCTCCACTGCAACATCTTTAATTTGCCTATAAAGTGCTCTGCATACATGAACGTGCAGCTGTAACCTGAGACTTGTTCCTGTTTCTGTAGGACTTGTCTGCTCGTCTCGTCTCTGTTTATGCAGAGAAGGATAGCTTTGTGCTCACATTCAAGACTGTGGAGGAGATCTGGAAGTTTTCAACGTACCTTTCATTAGGTAGAACGAATTAAATTATTTTAGTCCATCAAATTTATGCTTCACTATAGTCAGTATTTACTGGACTTTGGTCCTAGTATCAAAGTCTCAGTCGAGGTTTCTGTGGCCCAGGTTATGTGGCTCGTTGCTTGGAGAACTTCTTGTGTGATCAGTCGTTCTGGCTGGACCCAGAACTGCTCAGTGAGTTGGAGATCAATGTGACAGTGGACGAGGAACATCTGGCCACCCTCTACCTGGGACTTCTTCTACAAGAGGGTAAGCAATGCTCATTTTATGAATTTATACGTTTTAATAAATACAACAAACACAAAACAAAATAATAACTACTTTTTTTTTCATTTACCGTTTATTTAGACGGGTAGTCTCACTGAGTCACGAGAACTCATTTTCAAGAGAGACCTGTTTAGGGAGCAGATGGTGGGGGTTGAGGGTCTTGCTCAAGGGCCCAGAGTGGGGCAAATGAGGGTGGAGGCAGGTGTGGGTGTTTCGCCTTTTCCACCCACATTTTGATGTTAAAGGTATCAAGAGTTGCGACTTTCTGATCACAGGCCCATCTTCTCTAACCTTTGCGCCACCACTCCCCCAATAATTGTAATACATAATAATATAACATAATTTTTAACATTAGTTTAAATTTAGTTTTTCCAGATTAACCTATGCAGCAAGAATCTAGAAAAAAATAGATGTCCATTTTACTCAAAGGAAAAGTTCATGTGTGGAAAGTTCCTTTCTCCTAGTTTCTTTTTCCTCACGTAACATCAATGAAACCGTTTACTGAATATTTTATGATAAACTTCTTAACACATTACTGTTTTGTTTTGAAGTTTGTGAGATGTCACACAACTAGTCTTGACTGCCCCATTACTGTAGTGTCAATTTAGGTCAAAAAGCATAATAGCTTTTTACAGTTTGGGTAGTAAAGCGTCATGTGCTTGCCTGCTCTGTGTATGAAAATCCATACACAGGCTTCCCTTGTAAAAGAGATTTGTGATGTCTGAGAAATTTGCCTGGTTTAAAAAGTTTAACACTTTTTTCACTATTGTGGAATTGGTGGTGCAGAGGTTAAAGAAGGTCGTCGGTTCAACTCCCCGGAACGACATCATCAAAATATGGGTGGAAAAGGTGAAATACCCATACCTTCCTCCACCCTCATTTTCCCCACTCTGGGCCCTTGAGCAAGGCCCTTAAACCACAAGGCCCTTGTTTGGGACCATCTGCTCCCAAACACAAGTCTCTCTTTAAAATGTGTCCTCGTGACTCAGTGAGACTACCTGTATAAATAATGGTTAAATAAAATAAATAAAAAACTAATAATAACAAAACAACATTCTGTTCAGTTCTCCACTTAGCACACAACTTTTATTACAACTTCCCTAAATAAACTCTTGGGAATCCCTGTCTCGTATAAAAACTCTACATTCTGCATCAAATTTATTTATTTATTTGGTGTTAATGGTACTGACATGGGGCAGTACGGTGGCACAACTGGTAGAGCTGCTGCCTCTCAGAGAGCAGGTCCCTGGTTCAAATCTCGGTCCGGGGGCCCTGCTGGGTGGAGTTTACATGTTCTCTCTGTGCATGCGTGGATTTTCTCCAGGTACTCCAGTTTCCTCCCACAGACCAAAAACATGCATGTTAGACTGATTGGTAACTCTAAATTGTCCCTAGGTGTGAGTGAGAGAGTGAATGGTTGTTTGTCTCATTTGTCTCTATGTGGCCCTGTGATGGACTTGCGACCCATCCAGGGTGTACCTCGCCCCTCGCACAGTGACTGCTGGACATGGGCACCAGCGACCCCCGTGACCCAAAATGGAATAAGCGGGTAAAAGATGGATGGATGGTACTGACATGTTTGTAACTCGCTTACAAACTCCTTATCAGTGGAGATACTCAGCTGCAGATGCAAAAAATACACTAGCCTTCAAAATAAAAGCATGCTTTTAAAATCCTGTTTTTAAAATAAAAGCAGAAATTTTAGATTTGTAAACAGAACGATTTATGTCAAATTTCAAAATTTTCACTTTGTATCTCCCCTGGGCTGGATGGAGATGGTTAACAGATTGATTGAGGCTAGCTGGCTTCGAGATGCTCACGAGAGCTTTAGAATCTGGGCCTTTTATTTTGTTTTAACTAATTCCAGTAACCATTTGAGCCTTTTTATTTTATTCTCTTTTTTAAAAGACTCCAAACAACACTGACACAGACTTAATGGCTTGACCAGTGGTGTTCAGTCTTAGTTCTCAAGGGCCACTGTTCTGCATGTTTTAGTTGTTTCCCTGTTCTTCTGTTTCTTCTGTTTTGATCTGTTTCATGTTGCTGCTGATCTGTTTCAATGTTGATGTGTTCATGCGTGCACATCTGCTCACAGACTCATGTTCATGTTTGTGCTGATGTTCAATGTTTTATGTTATGAGTGCTTAGTGTATATTTAGTTGATGTTTTTCTTAGTTCATATCTTAGATGTTATTACTGTTTTTCTTATACATTTTATTGTTGGATGTAACTGGGACCCTGTGTACATAATTTCGCTCCACCACATGTACCACATGAGGTGCGAATGACAATAAAGAAACTCTGACTCTGACTCTGACTCTGACTTCTGCAAGTCTTCAAGTTCTGCAGAGGCCTGTTAATCACTCATTCATTCAAATCAGGTGTGTCCAAGCAGAGAAACATCTAATGCAAGGCAGTGGCCACCAAGGACCAGGATTGGACACCCCTGGACTACTTATTCATTCAATCATGTTAAAGGTGGCACAGTGGTAGTGGTTAGCAATGTGGAGCATCCAAGCAACAGATTGTCTTTCTGTTTGACATTTGCATATTCTCACTGTGCTTGTGTGAGTTTTCTCTGGTGTTCTGGTTTTCTCCCACGGTCTAAAAACATGGAAGTTTGGTTAACTTGTGATTAAATATAGCCTTTATTGTGTGTGTGTACAGTTGCTCTGTTAGCAACTGTACCTGCATAATGTCGCTACGGTTGGAAGCATCTTATCTGAGGGTGATGCCGAGGGGCTGGTTCATGTGTTTGTCATGTCTGGACTGAACTACTGCAATGGTTTGTTATCTGGGTGTCCAAAAACTTCTTTAAAGTCTTCAGTTAATTCAAAATGCTGCTGCCAGACTCTTAATTGGAGTTAGTAGGAGAGATTATATCTCTCCAGTTTTAGCTTCTCTCCATTGGCTCCCTGTCAAATCCAGAACAGAATTCAAAATCTTACTTCTAACCTACAAAGCTCTCAACAACCTAGCTCCATCTTATATTCCAAGATCTTATTGTTCCATATTTTCCCAGCGGAGAGCTTCGTTCTCGGACTGCGGACTTGCTCGCAGTTTCTGGGGTTTTCCGGGGGTGGTGGGATCTTTTGGTTGTCTGGCTCCTCTATTCTGGCTGACTTCCAGTTTCTGTCCGCAAGGCTGACACAATGGGACTGGGCTTGAGGCTTGCCTTTTGGTTGGGTCATGTAGTTGGGGTTGGCTTGTTGTGCTGCCTTGGGCTTGGACTGCTGGAGGAAAGATTGACCTAATTTCCTTAAATGAATTGTTAAAATTGAATAGTTTTTATATGATACTATTTCTATCTTAACATGATTCTTGACCTGCCATTGTGTATCTGTTCCTCTCAAACCCAGCCGGTCGAAGCAGATGGCCGCTTGTCCTGAGCCTGGTTCTGCTAAAGGTTTCTTTCTCGTGAGCAGGGGTCTGCAACCTTTACGATCAAAAGAGCCATTTCTGCCCCTTTGTTCACTAAATTAAACGTGTCCGGAGCCACAATACCTGCTACAACTGGGATTCTCAACTGGTGGCTCATGGACCACTTTAAGTTGGTTGGAGGGCGCTTTTCTGGACATTAGGGGTGGTTTTATAAAACAAAAAATATCTAATGATTTTTAACATTCATTGATATTTTGATACTCTAAGACAAAATAAAAGAGATTCATGTAAAGAAGGAAAACATAATATAGTTTTTTCCGTTTCTATAAACTCAACAATAAACTATGCATTCTTATATAATTTTATTAATTGTAGAAAAATTACGTATCCTATGTTGAGGAAATAAAGCATAAAGTGAAAGCGAATATGTTTTACTCCTTGTGATGTTTCTACTAGTCATATATTTGCAAAATAAATTACAAGAAAACAGCTAAAACTAGCCCTTTTAGTTGTTGTTTGTATAACAACCAATAAAATTCTGTTTTTTGTCAGTTTTAGTCAAAGCTTGAACGAGCCACTGAAGAGGGACCAAAGAGCCGCATGTGGCTCCAGAACCGCAGGTTGCAGACCCCTGCTCATGAGGGAGTTTTTTCTTTCCACTGTCGCCTTCATGCTTGCTCAAGAGGCGAGTCTGTGATGGAGTTAAATTCAAAGCAGTCTGCTCCTCAGATAAATAGTGTTATTATTTTTATATACTGTATGAATGTTTCTGTTCAGTGCCCTGAGATGACTTCAGTTGTGACTTGGCACTTTATAAATAAACTGAATGAATTGATAGTCATGTGATTGACTGATAAGCTTTTTGTTCTTCATAACTTCTCAAAGCTGCAACTGGATACCAGGATGTCTCAGTCTTAACTTTAACCGCACAAATCATTTTGTGTCTTTTATCAGAATGATTCCACCACTTTGTAAAGTACATCTCTGCTTCTTCATGCTCAGGCATCTCTACTGTTCCTCTAGAAAAATGCCTCATAAAAACTATAAAAACTGCACTGCTAGCAAATACTGAAGAAAATTGCATTATCCTAATAGAGGAGACGTTATACACCATCCATCATTTATGACTGAATGAGGGCACAGTGTGTGACGTGAGCAAAAAAGCAAAATCTTGAAATGCTTTTAGCGAAACCAACATCTTTAACTGAAAACATTTTTGCGTATTTTGATTTCTACAAGCTTTCCGTCTCATTGCAGGGTCCTTCTTCGCCAAGGCTCTGTTCACTGGAAGTGAGCAGGATGAAGACGATGAAGAGAAGCTGTCGTTCAAAAAGAATGACCTGCTTATGGTGCGAGACACCAGGCAGGACAGCATGTGGGAGGGCACCATGCTCTCCACAGGAAACCACGGCCTGGTGCCCGTCAGCGCCATGCAGCCGCTGCCTTACCCCTTCTATCAGTGAGTCACCTCAGTTCACTTTAACCATAAATAAGAAAACTACATACTCTTCACCAAGAGGCAGAGGGAATTTGACATAGGTTTTGTTTAATCTTACTTCCTGTTTGGCCAGGTGGTTCCTAAGGAAGTATCCAGGCCATGCAGGATGCTCACCAGCAGAAAAGGAACTGTTCGAACATTCGATCGGTAAAACTATTCTGCATATAATAAACCACACATAGTAAACATCAGGACTTCTCTGAATCCTGTTTGATTCCACAATAACACTTTGTTTGCATGCACTGAAAATGTATATTTTGTGTCACAAAATGTTTAGTCTATATTAGTCCTGACAATCTCATTCTTGTGTCTCGTTCCTGCTCATTAAATCCCCCAGTGAGTGGTTCGTGTGTAGCTGTAGTTGACTACTGTCCAGCAGCACCAGATGAGCTCCAGCTGAACCTGGGGGACATTGTGGACATCCAGGGTCTTCTGCTCCGAGGAGTGGACATGTTTATTGGGAAACATTCATCCACAGAACACATTGGTTTTGTTCACAGAGCTCATGTCAAACCTCTAAACATCACACCCTTGTAAGATTTTTTTTTTTTTAAAACAAACGCTTGAAATTACAAGTCCTTTTTATTTTGAAATATTTTATTACATTTAAATTTGCTAACTCTTGTTCAGAGATTTTTCTCCTTTCTTCTATGAAAGTGTTATGAAGTGTGTTTGAGGTCTGGGCAGGGTGAGATGGAATCGTAATGCTTTTTTTGTTTTGTTCCTTCAGAGATGGACAACTGGTTTTTCTGACTGAGGAGGAGAAGACCAGTCTGGCTCAGGTTAACCTGTGCAGCACAGAGCCAAGTGACAGCAGCATGCTGGAAAGACTTTTCTCCTCTGATATCAGCTCCGTGTACAGGCTAGGTAAATGAATGACTGGGCTGATCTAGATATGTTGTTTTGTCAGCTAGAAACAACATGTGCGAAAGCAGCATACCTGAAATACAGGTCGTGTTTGGCCTCAGCTCGTTTCCAAAATAAAGAATAATAATGGTGATTCATTCATTCAAGAAAATCTGGTTTCTGTCTGACCTCTTTGTAAGTTGACTTGGACTATAAATAGTATGGTGTACAGTAGGGGCGCAACGGTACGCTAAAATCACATTTCGGTTCGATTCAGTTTCAAGGAGGGCTCGGTTTGGTTAATTTTCGGTACAAAAAAGGCCAAAATAAAGACTTACAAAATGTTTCTTTTGAAATTATGCCAAGTAAACAAGTTCAGTCATTACAGACTTTTTAGCTGGAGGTGATCTGGTGGATGAAGAAGACTCAGCTGCTGTCGTCGTTGACATCCTCAGACTACAAACAACACAGAGATTAAAAACAAAAATTGAGTTAATAAGATTATAATTTTACATTTAAAAAGTTAATTAGATCACAGTAATACAATAACAGTACCTCTTCTTGCACGGTCATCATTTCTGATATGAGGTGGTTGAATATTCTCTCTCGCTCATCATCCCTGTGGTAGGGCTTTAATCTGGTCCAGGGCTTGTTGACGATCAGTTTTAGCTTTTTCATAAAGTGCTGCTACAACATTTTGGCTGAAGTGTGAACATGATGGGATGTCGTAGGGAGCGGGGCTCAAGAACTTTAGAGCCGGTGCATCACCAACAGAATATGGACGTAGATCCAGAGCTTTAAAAACTCCTACAGCTTGTGTTGTTGCTTTGGACCGATCTGAATTACCTGATAAAGGATGTTTAAATGCTGCTATCGGTATTTGCACCAAGCTGCTAGAAGAGACGTTCGCATTCGGATTATGTCGTTTCAAGAGCGTTAACAAGTTAGATGTGTTGCCTGCTGCAGATCCAATCTCCGTGAAACAACGTCGACACACAGCTTTGGATTTGTTCACTTGTCTTTTAACAAGAAAGCCATAATGGTCCCAAACATGAGACCACAACGAGATGGCTTGTTCGTTGCCTGCTAGGCTGCTAATTCTATGCATGCTGCAAGATAGCGCCATGCTGAAACACGCTTAGGAACTTTAGTTCCGTGGCGCATAATCTCTCGTTAATAAAATTTAACGAGTGAAAAAATAACCAAAACGGTACACACGTGGACCGAACCGTCCATGACATACCGAAACGGTTCAATACACCCACATGTACCGTTACACCACTAGTGTACAGTATTTGTAAACCCTAAACACTTGTCTCTGTGCTACTAAAAAGTGCCAGTCAAATTATATTTAAAGGAATACTTCCGATCTTTGGAAATGAGGTCTTGTGGAAAGGTTATCAACTGTTTGCAGCTGAGTGTGAAGCGGCTGAGATGACAGTCAACTCCTCAAAGTCTGAGACCATGGTTCTCAACCAGAAATGGGTGGAATGCACCCTCCGGGCGTTGGGGAGAGGGTTTGCCTCAGGTGGAGGAGTTCAAGTATCTGGATGTCTTGTTCACGAGTGTTGGGAGGATGGAGCAGGAGATGGATCGACAGATTGGGGCCTCGTCCTCAGTAATGGGAGCATTGCATCGGTCTGTCTTGGTGAAGATAGAGCCAAGTTGAAAGGCAAAGATCTCGATTTACTGGTCTGTCTATGTTCCCACCTTCCTACTGTATGATCATGAGGTTTGGATCATGATCGAATGAATGAGATAATGAATACAAGCAGCCAAAATGGGCTTCGTTCGCAGAGTGGTCGGGCTTAGCCTTAGAGATGGGGTGAGGAGCGCTGTCATCCAGGGGGAGCTTGGAGTAGAGCTGCTGCTCCTTCATGTTGCAAGGAGTCAGTTGAGGTGGTTCAGGCATCTGATTAGGATGCTTCCCTTTAGAGGTTTTCTGGGCACGTCCCACTGGTAGGAAGCCTCAGGGACGACCCAGAAGTTGCTGGAGGGACTGTGTATGTTCTTTGGCCTGGGCGTTCCCCCAGAGCGAGGAGAGGGATGTCTGGGTTTCTCTCCTCGACCTGTTGCCTCTGTGACCAGATTACGGATTAGCAGTAGAAGATGGATAAAAAAGATTACAAACAAAAAGATTTTACTAGATTTAGCTGCTTTTTAAAATCTAAACTTTGAGGTTCTGATTTTTTTTAATTTGGGTTTTGTGAAAAGGTTGTAAAGAAATAATATCATACCTGTAACCTGTTGCAGTTTAAAAAAATAACTAACATTCCATAGAATGAGGGATTTTTGTCATTTTAAAACAATTTAAATCCTTGAAATGTCATTGCAGTTCATGTGATCACTTTTTTAACATTTACATCACTGTCAGTTTCACATTACATCATAAGTCTGTCAAAAGTTTTACAACATTTGGAAGCTGGAAATTCCCCAGACTAAATTAGAAAAAAATAGGATTACATTTATTTTAAGATGTCAGCAATCCACTTTGGTCCTGGTTTTATTCAGATTAGACATTAGCTAATTAATCCAGTCAGAATTACAATCTATTTATCCTTATTGAGGTTGTTCAAAAAACAATCCAAAACAAGTAAGATATTATTTGTTTATGACTTCCACAGAAGCCTACATCCAAAAATCAGAACTATATCGCTTCAGACACATAAATACTGAAACAGCTTCTGGTTTGTTTCCAGATCGATTGGATGAGTCAGACTTCATGTACATCCTGGGTCATCCAAAACACGGTAAAGTTCAAATGTTTTAAACATTGAAGTAGTTTTAAAGGTTTAAATTTGATATTTTTATCTGATTCCTTCAATGCTCATACTCATTTGTCTTTACAGATCATACAGGCTTTTTGAGCACTCGACAGAGCCTCATGTCCGAAAGAAGTGAGGGGACAACCATCTACCAGTCCTCTCCTCATGCCTCCATCACCTCTCCCCGCATCTCCCACAATCCTCTGCCACGAGAGGGAGAGCGCTTATCTTTCAGTATGGATGAGACGTTCAGAGGTCTGGACGAGTTCCATGAAGATCCATCTTTCTTCCTAGAAGAGAACAGCTGGGACGGGGAAGAGTCTGAGCTCAGTGACCCCACACTGACTCTGCTCAACCAGGAGCACTTCCAGGTCAGGAGGAATCACAGTTGTTTCATTCCCTATTTTATTGTAAAACCACCAAGAACTGTATATCAAGTCTGTTTTAATCATCATCAAGTGGGGGTTAATAAAACCTGGACAAAAACCCAGAGATAAAAAGCTTCTATCCAAAATTCTCAACAATGTATCATTCATGTCATTAATAAATATAGAACAGGAGGTCATCGCCATACTTATCCACAAATCAGCACATGAGCACAAATGTCTTCGCTTGAAGAGGCTACCAAAGGGCCTGGCAAAGTTTTGCATGACAGCGCTTCTTTGACATTCGTCATGATTCAGAACGCAAATTATTTCAACTGAACCTGCATAAGACAGAATGATTTGTCAAATTATTTGCACTGGTTTTAGCCACAACGAACTCTAAAACCTTGTGTTTGTTGTCTCTGCCAGGAGGATTTCCTGCCCCTGTATGACCTACAGTGTTCTTTCCTGTGGATGACCTTCAGCGGTAAGAATGAGAAGGAGCTGTCAGGACATCTTGAGAGTGTCAGGGAGTGCGCCAAGAGGATGGGCATGCACTGGGCCCATCGGCGTGCGTGTTTTGTACTGGGTAGACTGTGTGCCAGGAAGCTGAAGTTCTCCCAGGTATGTGCAAATGTGGGAAAATATGTACTGTAGACATTGTTTTTTTTTTTTCAATGTTAGGGTTTTACATATCAGGACAAGAAAATAACAATCTGGTCTAACCAGGTTCTAAAATTAATCAAATCTAACCTCATCTATGCAAAGACATACAACAAATTCTACCACATATTTACTCACTGAACAAAAACAGACAACATGGAAAAGTTTTGTGTAAAAAAACAAACAAGTGTTTCAAACAACAAAAACTTAAAGTAGTAATTTTCCAAGATTTTAGTTGGGTTAAGATCTAGGAATATGAATGGACAATTGCAGCACTTCTAGATTTTTGGGACAATTGTCCTGTTGATTTATGACTAGGCTTGATCTAAGCTATGTTTTTTTCTTTTTACATTTGTTAGTAAACCTTGGATTTTTATATTAGACCACTAGATGGTATTCCGCTTTTATATTTGGGAGCATTTGTAAAAATATACCGGGACATCGTTCAGCTCACCCCAGAAAAGGTACGCCTTTTCCGGTCAGAGTCATTGCGGAGTCCCGCCTCTTGTCTCGTCCAGTAAAATCATTTTAGTTTGGGTGTAAACAGGAAAAACTCACTTGTAGTGTGCACAAGTAAACATTTAGTACTAAAAATCAGTTTCACATGCATGCAATCCACAGAATAGGATGTTCCACGGCTGACGGCTGCAGACTATCGGTGGCTTAGCCAAAGACAGGACGTAGTTAGGTGGACTGTGCACCTGCAGCTCACTCGTATATTCAAGCCAAGTAAAAAACTATTTTAAAACTAGCTATTCTATCATGAGCAAAATAAAAAAAAATATGAAGAAAATAATAATTAAAACACAAATATGATTAGAATGAATTATCTATGTCCAAGAGCGGGTGACATGACGAAGTCTGATCTCATTTCCAGCTACAGGATCTGAAGGGCCCGATGTCCTGGAGGATGGTTACAAAACTGGACTAATTAAAAAAAAAATATTCAAAATAAAAAATAACAATCATCATCATTTTGGGTGTATTGATGAGGGAAAGCATATTTTAATTGATTTTCTTTTTAAATTGATGTAAAATAAATATTTTGTGAATTTTTGAAAAACTGATTTTTTTTTGGTAACAAAAGACCATTAAAGAGTTAAAATAATAATTAAAAAAAAGTTCTTTCAATTCAATATTTTCGTTCAGGCTGAAATAGTTTTAAAATGCTGACTTTTTTTGTGGGGGGGGAAAAAAAAGTTTTTTTTTTTTAGCTGTTAAATAAAGTGGTTAATTTTTCCTCTAAGGAGCAGAGCTGGTCAATATGAAGTTAAAGCACAATACAAGGGTTAACTTGATCAGCAGCTGATAGTTCCTCTCTTAAATCCCATGGAAGCAACAATGGTGGAGTTAAATTTTTGCAGTTATTTTAAGCCTTTGTTTTGATGAGTAAATAATAACGGTGGAATTTGTTGTGTTTTGGTACACTTGAGGTTGAGTTTGAAAATATGTTTTAAATAGGAGAAGAATATAATTTTTTTTGCCTGATAAAAAAAAAAAAACTATAGAAATGAAAGACATGGGTTTTATATTTTCTCATGACTGGGAATCTGGTGAGTTTGCATCTTTTTGTAATCATTTTCTTTCCTCCTCAGGCTCGTGTATACTATGAAGAAGCTATGAGCGTTCGTGTTGATGGTTTTTCTGACATTCCACTCCTTGTGACTCTCTTCACCAACCTCACTGCCATCTACTTGAAGCAACGTATGAATGACAAGCTGCCCCACATTCTGGAGAAGGCCAGTGCTCTGCTCCTCTGCCTTCCCTGTCACACCTTCACATCCGAAGATGAAGTAGAACTGCTGAAGCTGCTCCTGAGGAGATCAGTCATCTTAGGTGACAAATACTTGGAGGCTCGCGTCTGCTACCTCATCTCCAGCCTCTTCCTGCTCCGGAGGAAGACTGATGATGCTCTTCCCTTTGTTGAACGACTCCAGTTCCTATCAGCGACACTGTCAACCTCTGAGGGGGATCCTATTGCTCCTGTAGATCTTAACTGGCTCTTGAGCTGGCTATATCATCAAAAATACATGCCTTACTTAGCTTTAGCCTCTCTTAGCCTAGACTCAAGGCAAGACCATTCACTCAGTGATGCCTTTTTGAAGATTGAGTTGTTCATCAGAAACTCTGTTCGTCTGAACCCAAGCTGGAAGGAAGGAACTTCCATCCTTCCAGCTCAGATTGTGGTTTACCTGCATCAGGCCCTGGTGATAGCTGAGAAGGGGGACGACATGAAGATGCGAAGGGACTTGTGTTTGGGCCTGGCCTCGGTTTACCAACAGTATGGTGCACTTTATAAGGCAGTGAACTGTGCCCAACAAGCTGTGGAAACAGGGAGCCACATCAATGAGGAGGATGGCTTTGAGGCCTCTGTGCTCCTTGGATGGCTGATGGTGTTGACGGGCCAGGCTGAGAGAGCCCTGAGTATTCTTGAACCACTGCTAACATCCTTGCAGGTACAACAGCCAATAGTAAACAAAAAAGCCATTTATTTTCTAATAAGCATAAATTTTGATCAGAGTCTTTGCGTAAATCTCTCTACAGAGCACAGACAGTCCTACTCAGCGAGGAGTGATCCATAACCTCTTGGCTTTGAGCCTAAGGCATCAGGGCCAAATTCGAAAGGCAGGCTGGCATCTCCACTCTGCCTTGGTGATCTCTAGAGAAAGTGGAAACCAAAGAAATCAGGCCCTGGCACTGGCCAACCTGGGCTGTCTGGCACTGGATGCTGGGGCATTTTTGGTTGCTGAACGTTTCCTGGTCAGGTCAGTTGCTCGACTAACGGATACATTCTAAATGTTCTCACAGAAAATGAGTTTAAAACAAAAGCCTTCACACTGCTAATTTTTTTTTTCTAAACTAGATCTTTGTGCCTTTTTCTGGATCTCTGGGAGAGCCCCACAGACGAGGAGCATGTTCAGACCTACCTTTGGCTTGGACGAAGCTACAAGGACAGAGGAAGGAATCAGGACATCAGGACATGTTATGAAATGGGGCTGTTAATTGCACTACATGCCAAAAACTTGCACAGTAAGTATCTTCTCAACCACTAACAGAATGATTATTTAGTTTGATGTAAGTAGGTGGCATTTAAATCATGTAAAAAGTATTCAAATGTTGTTTTTTGCAAAAATTGAGTGTTTTCCTCTGTTTTCAATAAAAAAAAAACTACAAAGTAAATGTATAAAATATAAACAACACTTGATATAAAAAACACTCCTATGAAAAATTATATTTTCGCTTTGTAGATACCATTTTGACTAGAATTATGAGCTATTGGCTAGTCTGAACAGGGCCAAGACTTAAAAAAAATATACAAAATCTGTTTATTGAAGAGCACAAATACACAGCATTTATTTAAAAACACAATGTAGTCAAGTCAAGTCAAATTTATTTATAAAGCCCTTTTAAAACAGCAGCTATTATCAAAGTGCTTGAGGGTAACGTAATCAGTTTTCCTTGCATATTTGTCTTTTTATTTTTGTATACAAACAATACACAGTAGGCCACAGTTTCTAACATATCACAAACTTAGCTCTAATTTGTCATGGTCAAACCCAATATATATATATATATATATATATATATATATATATATATA